AATGATTGTGCCCTCCACACTTTGAAAGTCCATCCGGTACATTTCTCTCTCTGGACTTGGCATTATCATGGGATAACTGCCGTCAAATCATTCCTGGCAAGCGCTTAGAGGCCACTACCTGGACAGTACGTTTCAGCTCGGCTCTTGTCTCGTCGTGATGGCACGTGGCTTACGATGCAGAAAGGTGTCCTGGGTATATGCCGACAGAGAGGATGTGAAATTCCCAAGGTGGCGAAAGTGGGACCAAATGGCTGATGGATCATACGACCACGATGAATACCGCTTTGAAGGAAGAGAGAAGTCTCGATACAGTCCTGATCATAGACTAGGTTGAAGCACTGGACAATAGATCGTTACCTGAGGTGTTTATTGGCACAAGCACAATGGCATCCCCCATCTGAGCTAATAGGTAAGGTGGAAATCCACCATCTGCAGAGAGAACGTGCTCACTGGGCTCAACACAGATGACCTTGCCCAAATTGCTTGAAATCAAGCGCCGTATCCAACCAGGAAATCTTCAATAGGTTCTTTGGGCCGGTGCATGATCATTTGATTAGTGTCCCTTGCACACTGCAGCTGCAGCAGAGAATGAGCATTTTGGAAGGAGCTCTGAGGAGGAGGTCAGCGCAAATCAAAGTTGTAACTGTACCATATATTAGACTACTATATGACTTTATTGGTTCATAGCTATTATAGGCGTGTCTGACACAGAGACACACGGTCAGGCTGGGTAGCACTCGATTCAGGATAGCAACGATATTATAATCGGTGACAGAAAGCCCTTGTGGTGTTGAAATCGCTCAAAGCCGTTCAACCGTGTTTGTCGTCACTGGCACACAGGAGGTCGGGCCCAGGCACACCACTTGTCCATCGCCACTGTAACCGGCCTTTGGGCCCAACGCCAAGGGTAAAATCAAATCCATATTCGTTTGCTGGTGTAATATTCAAGTACAATTCCTCGAACAATCTGGAGAATCCAGAGGACAACGATCAACGCTGGACCCTGGTGTTTTTGACATCTTTGGTTGAAGCTTGTGTATGGTGAGACAAGAAGATGCAGAGTCTTGAGATGGAAATTGACGATTTTACTCAGAAAATAGCCTGCTATGATCAATAAAAACAGCCGTGCTGGCGATCCCTTCTCCATCAAGGGACCTTATCGAGATCTGAATGCAATCCCCCTGACTCGTAAACCAACTTTACACTTCTTGGTGCGGACAACGAGAAACTCCGACCCGGAGGGCCCACTAACGGTCGCGGCCATTCAGTTGCACAACCTCAGTCGGAGCGGATCCATATCGCTGTTATACCAACACTTCTGAGCATGACACGGTGTCAAACAAGAGGCAGAGTCGGAGTGTCGGCGCTGATGCTTGCTGGGATGCTACTCTACAACACCAGTGCCAGAGCAGGACACACCATTGTAGGCAATTCCCTTTTTAGCATTCTCCTCGCGGTGCCGACGAGGCGCACAACGGGCCACATTCTCGCAAATCAACGAGAGTTATTGCTTGGGCCCAGGTCCAGTGCTGCCTTTCGTCTATAAAAAGGGTCGATTTTGGACCTCTGGGTTTCCTCATTCTGCTCTCAAACACACTCTCCCATCTCACTCACTGCAACTTCACCATGAACAAGTCCAACGTGCTCGCTACTGCTGCCACTCTCTTGCTCCTTGCACACTCCACTCATGCTGCTCCTTCTCTCAGCATGAAATTGTCGGGTATGTTTCTCTACCTACCTAATCACTTGTTCTGCACGTTGCTTTATCTAACTCTTCAACAGGAAAATCTACTGTTGAAAACGTGGATAACTTCTCGGTCACCGTAAATGTCACCAATACGGGAGACGAGACCCTCAAATTATACCAAGACCCCCGCGGTGCTCTCTCTACTTTCCCTGTGCGTATCATATCATTCTAGCCCTACGAGTTCGTCAGCTAATGCATTATTTACAGGAGAATACGTTCAAAATCGCTGCCATTGATGGAGAAGACACCCCAAACTTTGCGGGAGCTCGTGTTAAATACGGCTTTTCGGTTGCCACCAATTTCGTCACATTGGAACCCGGAGCTAGTGTCGTCGTCAGTCATGATCGTAAGTTCGAATTCATACATATCCCATCCTTTCTTTCCATTAATTAACAAATTCGCACATTTTCCCAATAGTTTCCAAGGCATACGAATTTGCCAAAGTCGGTGACTACAACATTGAGGCGCACAATCTTTTTTATTACCAAGACGCATCTGGCTCTCCTGTACCATTGCGTGCGAACGTTGACTCTACGTACACCGCCAAATTATCCGGCAACCTCGTTTCTACATCTCTCTCCAAGCGCAGGGCAGAGGGTGTTGAAAAGAGGGCAGAAAGTAACACACTATATCGCAGGGGTGGCAGGCTTCAGAAGCGTCAAACATATACCGGATGTTCCAGCGAGCAGAAGAAAGCTATCGACCGTGCTGTCCCTATTGCTGTGAACTACGTCGACCGATCTATCCAGTACCTTAGGACACTTGTCTCAGGTAAACCCCGCTTTGAAAGTTGGTTTGGTACGTCTTCCTTGAGTTTCTGGACCCCCCCTAAACCCAATTGTCATCTTGCTTTCTGTCTTTGTGATCATAGTGGGCTGACAATATGTTCTTTCCTCTATTTTGTCGAAATAGGTGCATATCGTCGTGATAGGCACACCGTCGTATCAGGACACTTCAATCTTATCAAGCAGGACAACCCAACTACGTATAACTACGACTGTCGATGTCTTGAATTTGCGGGTACTGAGAATGCGGACGGTACCTTTGGTATGTTCGTCCTATCCCGGCTCTTCATTCGATTAACTGCTTCTG